TAAATTAAATACAAAAAAAAAATTACAATAAAATAACTTTTTTTTATAAATTGTTGAGTTTTTTTTTGTTATAATATTGATATATAATCCAATAAAATGTTGTTATTATTATTATTATTATTAGTCATCATTGGTTTGAACAATAATCCCATGAATTTCATGATTATTATAATAATTATTATAATTATTTGTAATAATAATAAAAACAAATTTATCCGTTAATAATAAAAACACACACAAAATGTTTTTTAACACACTATTTATGCGTTAAATTAAAAGTAATAATAATAATAATTAAATAAAAAACAATAATAATATAATAGTAATGATTGGAAAAAATATATATATATTTTTGTTTTGGCGCTAAACTATTAAAACGCGTTGAAAACAAATAATAATAAAATTTAAATCAATTTTTTCTATTAATAAAATTATCATTTTATTATTATTGAATTTTTTTTAATTAATATCATTATATTAATATCCAATACACTACACAATATTCACCCAATAAATAAAATAATTTTTAAACTTTTTTTGTTTACTAAATAAAACTTTTTTTTTTAAAAATTTTGACAACAAATCTAATGTAATAAAAGTTTTTTGAGTTTTTAATATAGCATTAGTTGTGTTGCTCTCTCTCTCTCTCTAAACACATACTGTATTCAATGCTAACACAAGCAATACATTGACCACTGTTTTAGTGCAACAAAAAATTTTGTTGTGTTTGTTTGGCACCGGTTTATGATATACAGTGTTATCAACAGCACATGCGTAACATTTTATGTTTTTTGAAAAACATTGCCATCTTTTAGGTCCAAAATAGGGTAAAAAAATTTTTTATTTAGTAGTTATTATTATTTAATAAATTATTATTATGTATAGCCATACATACTGTACTAACAAAAATATATATATAACATGATAAATGATAATAACTTTTAGCATATATATATAGTATAGTATAGAAACTATATATATACAAACAAACAAAAAATTGTTGCTTTTCCTGAATCTAATAGCCATAGCCATAGAGAGACACAATCAAACAATTTATCTTAATTTTATGTCAAGTTATGGTTAGTTTTGTTTATGTATTGGATAAGTATTTTCATATTATATTTTTATTTTTAATTTATTATTTATATATAAATTTTAATAATATATTTATTTATTTGGCTGTTTGGTTGGTTGTTTGGTGGCAATAACCCTTATAATAATAATTTAAAAAGCATTTAAACATTTATACAACAATAACAAAAATAAAAGTTTTTATCATATATGATAAATCCCATAACCCGTGACTATGCAATCATTTAAATTTAGTTAAAAAATTTGAATATCAATTTCTATAATAGATTAACAGATATAATATTATTAAAAATATTATTTAAAAATATAATAGATATCAATATAATATAATAGATTAATAGATATAATATTATTAAAAATATTATTAAAAGAAATAATAGATATTAATATAATATAATAGATTATTATTATTAATAAAATATTTGGTATTTAATTATTGAAGATTTATTATTTGCTAAAAATGCATTTTATTTATTTATTTATTTTAGTTATTTATTTTTTAAAAAATTATAATTAAAAATTTAACCCCTACCCTCCCACATTTTTGTTTGTTTGTTAGTATTGTGTATATAATTTTATTTATTTATTTATTTAATATTATATTTTTTGTTAAGTAGTATAACATATGTTGTTGAAACTAATTGCTACAAAAAATATCGTATTATATAATATACAGTGGTTTCCAATAGCAATCGTAACTAATAGTGAAATGCAGTTACTATTGTAAAATAAAAAAAAATTTTGTCCGCAATTCAAAACAAAAAACTTATCTATAGAAACACATTGGAAACTAAAAAAAAACTAATTATATATATATAATATATTATATATATATATACCGTATATACAGTACAGTATATACACATTTAAATAGGGGTTAACATACAAATATATGTATGAAATCAAATGTATAAAATATTTTGAAACTTTTTTAGCATTAGTGTCTGTATCAACAAAAGTCATACACAAAAAATTTTTGGCACAAATACTCGCGACATTGAAATGTATGCTTAAAGTAGTAGTCAATCAATTCAATTGCTTTGTTCATCAAAAATAAATAAAAAAATTAAAACCAGAATATTCTGTGTCGACATCATTGTCTTTCCATAAGTTTTTTTGTGTGTGTATGTATTGTCATTATATACAGTATATTACTGCCAACATATATACATACAGTACAGTACATACAGTGTGTGTATACGGTACCAACCATTGTATATGTTATGTGCTAAACATTTATCATGACGACCACCACCACCACTACCACCGCCATCATCATCAACAACAACAGGCCTACCAGTGCTCGTAAACTAGGAGATCTACAATTGAGTGCCAGTTTTCGTACACAGGTATTATCGACCGATTCACGTCAGCATAAGCAGCAGCACCAGCACAGGTATGTCAGTGATGATGACGGCACCAAACAACGCAACAACATTCATACAATATTAAAGGAACTGCCAATTAGTGTCGACTCCGTCACCGATGAAGGTATGACCAGTTAATATACTAATAAATATACTGCATATATAAGCTGTACAGTTGTGTATAATAATAATAATAATAATTTTTTATTGTTGTTATATTTTATATATATATTATTAGTTATATTGCAATATATTATATTACTGTATATTCTGCATAGTCGGGAGTATATATATATATATATATATATATATAGTATAATAAATGTAAATATTTAAACAATTTGTTTTTTTAGATTAATTTGATTAATAGTATATAAAATAATTTTCACGATTGTTAAACATATTAATAAATTAAAAGAATAATAATAATAATACTAATACTAATACTAATAATTTAATTTAATATAAAATTGCAATGTAATTATTAATAATATTTTTTGTAGATATATGTACTAAATTAATTTGTTACTATAATCTAGGTCAATAATTGTGTTATTATTATTGTTATTTGCAAAATATTACTATTAATAATAGTCATTATATTTGTGTATATATATATATATATATATAATTTTATTATACAATATTAATCATATTGTACTTAAATTAATATACAAATATTATCATAATTTTTATTGTTAATCTAAAAAATGTAAATATATAAATCATTATTATTATTATCATTTGTATAAAATTTCAAATAATATCTATAAATATATATATATATATATATATATTTAATAAATTGTTGATATCCTACTATAAACAGATATAACATTATACGCCAAACAACTGGGTATTGATCCGACATCAGAGTCACACTTGTTATGGATCGCCAAAAGAGGACTTTTATCTCGACTTCCCTTTCCATGGATTGCAATGTAAGTCCTATTTATTGACTGACTGTATATAACAAACTGTTTGTAACAAAAAATTGTTATCAATTTAGTTATGTTATGCAATATATTAACAAAAAATACTGTACAGTATATAATCTAATTTAATATAACCAAAAAAAAATATTAGTTTCTATTTCCTATTATAATAAGTTTTGCCGCTGATTTATTAGTTACTCTAATACACTATTAGTATAGTACTAGTACTGTATATAAAAAAATGTAGGACATCTCATAAAATGCACAGTTAGCCTAAACCAACCATTAAACTGATAGATGCAATGCTATTTATAACCAATGTCCTTTATATATATTAGACATTTTTACTGTATTATATATATATATACTGTATATACTATATACACTGTAAACATTGCTATTATTTATACTAAAAAATACTAATATAATAATTGACATTTTATTTGTTAATTAAATTATAATATATTTTTCTGGATAATTAAATTTTTAAAAACTTAATTTAATTAATTTAGTTGATTGTTTAATTATTTTCATAATTCCCACTATTTGTTATTTAATTAAGTATAAGTTAGATATTTATTTTTTTGTATAGACAATGTATTGTAATATGAATTAATTAATATAATTAATGTTTCAAAAAATGTGATAAATTGTTTAGAAAATTAAATAACTTTTATTTATATATATATATATCATAAATTTAATACTAAATATACTATTATGTATTAATTTGTTAGAAATTAAGAATATATTTAAGGAATATTCTATATATATATATATACAAAAATCAAATATTTATATCACAATAAAATTAATTAATATTTAATTAAAAAAATATAATTAATTTGTTATATTATGGAATATATTTAAGGAATATTCTATTTATATAAAAAAATTAAATATTTATATCATAATTAATTTTTAATTAAAAAATTTATTATTAATTATTATTTATATATTATTTTTTTCAGTGAAGATAGTCGAGGAAGACTATACTACTATAATAGTGATACATCTGAGTCCAGTTGGGAACATCCAACTGATCCATACTATCGATCACTGGTAAATCAGTATCGTCTGAAAGGGTCGTCCACTACCTTAAGTATGAGTGGTTTGACATCATTAGCTAATTTGCATTTTCTAGACGACGATGATATGGCTTTTAAAAGTGATGACAACAACAACAATAATACACATAATAATAATAATAATAATAGTAAAAGACTTACTAATCATATCAGTAAAAGTAATGATAATAATACTACTAATAGTAATAAAGGAGGAAATGTCTCATTAAAAGCAATTTTAAATAATAATAATAATAGCAATACTACCGGAGGTACTATTAATAATAAAATTAATAGCAATAATAATAATAATAATAATAATAAAAGTGATGATGAAGTCGAGTCGGTTGACTTTGAACTGGAAGTCGAAGAACTATTGGAAGAAATAGATGACGAAGAAGTGGTAGAAGAGGAAGAAAAAGAAGAAGATATTAACGATTTATTTGATACAGATTTGGTTACATTAGATATTACTGAAGATGGCATCTATGATACAACTAAAAAGTTTAAAGAAATTTTTACAATAGACTTGAAAATAGATGATAATAATATCAATGATAGTAATAAAACCGATAATACTAACAATGAAATCAAATCAAATAATAATAATAGTAGCCATAAATCAAAAGTTGTCGACACATCCGATAATAATAATAATGACAATAAAATGCAAAATAACAAAACTTTGTCGTCAACTGATGACAATAAGACATCACTTTCTGATAATACTAATAATAATAACATTAGTAAACACCAGAAGAATATTAAACAGCAGCTGCAGAGCACTGGTAGTTCAGTGATGACGAGTAACAGCACAGTTAGCTCTGATGATAGCCAAAACCAAAAACATAATGAAGTTTCCATTAATGACTTTGTATTAGACGTTTCTGACGATCCGTTTGCTGAGTTTGATGACTACGATAGGAATTATAATGACCTGTTTGGCCATTTAGGTGGTGGTGGTGGGAGTACTACTGGTGCTACTATTACTACTACTGGTGCTAAATATAATACTAATGATATTAATAATTATGAGGATTCCTCCTCCTCTGGTGCCAAATCATTGTCTAACTTAAGTAATAGTAATAATAATAACAGTCAAAACAATAACCACAATAACAGTCAACAAACTTCACAACAACTTCACAAACCATCGCATAAACAGTTGGAAACAGTAGAGGAAGCGTCTGAAGAAAAGGATGAAAACGGATTAGAGACGAGTAGTAGTAGTAGTAGTAGTGTTGAAGTAGAGGAAGATATTGATGAAGTGGTAGAGGAAGAGGAGGAGGAGGAGGAGGAGGAGGAAGGGATCGATGAAGAAAATAATGTTTATGCGAATGACGTGCAAATTGAACATAAATTTGAAGAAATAACAACAACTTTGACCGAAAAGATAACATCACTGAGGAATCAACTGAGAGAAGAGCTGACAAAACAAAAGTCATCATTGATTGGAGAGTTTGGCAATAGATTAGATAATATGGACAGTCGTGTCAATAGAAATACCACAGAAGTCAAGAGTGTATTGTCTGAGATAACCGACTTAAGACAACTAATACAAACAAATCAATTGCATTCAACCAATACTACTACTACTACCAAAGCAACAGCCGATGACGATATGACCAAAAAAATTGATAAAGAGTTACAACGGCTAAGAAGTGATGTACGGGAAGACACCGATGAGTTGTCAAAACAGTTCAGTCGTGAATTGAAACAGAAAGTCGGTTCAGTTGTCGACGATATCGACGAGAAAGTTGCGGATTTCAAAGATGAAACCAATCGAGAGCTGAGAGCCCTGAGACAGGAGATGTCTAATGTTGTGAATAATAATAAAAATTTTTATCAACAAACTAATGACTTGAAGGATGAATTGTCTCAAACGCTGTCGGATATTAAACGTCATCGTAAAGAACAAGACCAGCAATTGGAACAAATGGATCAGTCGTTGACCGATGAAACTAAACGATTTCATCAGGAAGTCCAACGATTGCAGACATTGATGAAAACGATTGAAACCCGTGTTCAGGAATTGGATTCAGAAAGTTATGAAATTCGGATACTGTCACGTCTGGAGGCTAACGAAGACAAGAATAGCGAATGTATGGCCAGAATTGATGGCATCGATGGTCAGATCAAAGAGTTGACTCAGCAAATGGTTCAGGCGTTCGCTGATGAAAGTCGTCGACAAAATTTAAACAAAATTAATGATAAGTTTGTCAGCGGTAGTAGTGGTGGACCTGTTATGGTGACGATGGCATCTAACGATGCACCAAAACAAACTAATAAAGAAATTGGTAGTAAAAAGACAACACAATTGAATGGATCAGTTCAGCCATCAGTATCACCAATATCTACACAACAGATCCCTACTGTTGTCGATGAGTCAGTAGAGTCTTCAGGGAATATACTAAATAGGATGACAGCTATGGAAGAAAATATCCGTAAAATAAGCGATTCATTTGAACGGATCAATAGAAATATGTTTCAAAGTAAACAACATTTCAATCATCAGAAAAGTGGTCGGACTGTTGGCAGCGGCGGTAAACAACAACAACAACAACAACAACAACAAAGAAATACATCATCAAAGTCAAGACCGAAGAAATCTAATAGATATTCATCAGCCGATGACGAGGCCTACGACTATACATCGAGAACTAGTTCCTCAACGCCATCGCTGGTATCTTCGTCATCGATAAGCGATTTCCGTGTTATAAGAGATTATGATATCAATGGTAGAAAGTCGACGACAACTATGGGACGACACCATCAACAGCAACAACAACAACAACTGTTTAATACATTAAGAAGAAGAAGAGAAGTTCATTACTCTATGCCTAACAATATTGGAAGAAAGTCTTTACCAAATAATAATAATAATAACTATTTAAATGCCAAACAATATAAAGATTATTATATGTATAGCAATGATAGAGACAGTGGTGATGCCTATGGTATGCCAACAGCATCATCGCTAGCATATAGAAACAGGGATTATAATTATAGGGATCAGATGATGTCAGGTTTGCAGCCTAATAGACTGCAGCACCGTAGTAGTAGTAGTGGACATCATCTGCATCATCATCATCACCAACAAGATCGGGTCTACAATCACATCCGTACGTCATCGTCAACCCTATTGAATCTGATTAAGAAAACAACCAAAAAATTAAGGGATGAAGCTATTGAATTGGAAAGTATGGGTGGCTATAGGTTTGTTACGGATATTATTGCTGAACCATCGTCACCAACAATAGCTGATCCATTCAATAGTGGTGGTAAAGATATGATGAATAATCATAATAATAACAATAGCGACGAAATCCTAATCAAAAAACTAAAGTCCGTACGACTGGATGTCGACCATAAACTAAGAAAACTGACGGATGTTATCAATCAGCAAAAAATTACACAAATTTAAAAAAATTATTTATTTATTTATTTTTAGTTTTTTTTGTTTGTTTGTTAAATTAATTAATTAATTATTTATTTATTTTTTGATGAAATATTTTTAGACTTATTATAGGTGTTATTAAAATATTACTATTAAACATAATTTTGTTTTATTTTTTGATTTTAAAATCAATTAAAAACTTGTTGTTCAATAAAAAAAATCATTTTATTATTATTATTATGTATATAGTATTAGTTAGTATAAAATTAATATTAAATTAATAGTATAATATATTTATTTATTAATTAAAAAATATACTAGTTCAATTTAATTTTGTGTTTTTAAATACATAAACTTTTATTAATATATACAATGTATATATCTTTTTAATAGTTATGTTAGCAAATTCCCAGAAATATTTATTAGTTAGCAAATTATTATTATTATTATTATTTATATTTTTAGATAGGGTTAACAAATTTTTATGAGTTGCACTGGTATGTAGCACTGGTATGTAGTTATATCCTAGATGGTCAATATCCGTCCCTATTATTATAATCGTCCTTGGACCAGGAAGTGCATTATAATACCTGTGCACAGTCAGTACATACCTGTGCTATACTAATAGTCTACTACTACAGTGACCATTACTTTTTTTTGACATTTAAAAATTAATGTTTTTGAAAAGCTTATCAAATTTTCAAACAAAACAAAAGGCATATTTACAACAAAAATGAGAAAATACAGGTACAGTATTAAAATAGGCTTTTAAAAATACTATACCTTTAGGGCACTAGTAGTAGTAGTAGTTTTGTCAGCCGGCTTATCGGTATTGTCAAGGGAAAGCATAAAAAATTTATAATTACTGAGCACTAGTAGTAGGACTAGTAGTAGCACTTGTGGTCAACTATTTTTAACCCATTTTTCTTGTTTTCAATACATATATATTGAATTGTATATTCATATACAGTACTTAAAAATAATTTTCAGTTATACCCGTAGGTTAACCAATAGACAACTTTTATTTTTAATTATAATAACCCATTGATTTTTATTTTAAAAAAAAACTATTTAAGTCTAACATTTTGCTTAACAAATAGTTATTTAGTTTTTAGGTATTCAATAGTGAAAGTCGTCGACAAATATAAAGTCAAAAAAAAAATAAAATAAGTAATAAAACTTAAAAAGTTTTTTTTGTTTAAATAAAAGTTATTTTATAGTTTAAAATAATAATAATAATAATAAAATTATGGCTAACGTTATAATATTGTATTTGACAATAATTTTATTGACAACAACACCGATACTGTGTCGGGATATACAACAACAAGCCTATGATGACGACGACGACGTCGACAATCGGGAACTGGACACCAATGGCGGCGGTGCCGGCAATGCTCTCCATCAGGCAATGGCCGTTCTGGATATGGTTACCAGATTTCAAGAGTTCAAAGGTCGAGCCCTGACAGCCATACCCGATCCGGTACAGGCATTGGCCGAACTCAGTCTATTCGGTGCCATTAAGTTGGGTGTTGTACTGCTATCCGGATTAGTACTGTTGGGCGCTATGTTTCCGACAGTAATGGCTGCCTATGGCCTGTCGTTACCACTATTGATCCGATCGCTTAACAACGGTATGGACGATATGAAACATATGGACTACGAAACAGTTGCCCTATCGATGCGATCGCTACCCGAAAAGGCCTTCCAGGCACTGGACATCCAGGAAGAGGACTGCCGAAGTCGTGCCGTATGCGAGATCGGCCAATACGGTGCCCAACTGTTCCCGACGGCGGCCAGCTATGCCCGTGCTTTCGGTACCCGTTTGCCGTTTAGTCAAAAATATTTGATGGCCATTGTCAAAGGTTTGACCACAAAAACCGATTGCTCGGTAACCTTTCGCAAGTGCCAGGAATCGCCATTCAAAAAGCTGTCCTATTTGTCTACTTATAATATATTTTAAAAATATTATATATATTTAAAAAAATAAATTATTTATGTATTTATATAATTTTTTTTTCATTGAAAAAAACAAAAAATTGTTTTTCTGTATAAATCTATTTTTCTTTTATTTTTTTTAATAATATTATCATTTTTTTTTGTTTAATTATTAATTTTCTATTATTATTCTATAATTAAAATAAAATTGTTTTTTTTAATTTTTTTATTACTAATATTTATCATCATATATACTGTATATATACAGTACTAAATAAATTTTTAATAAAATATTATATAAATTATAAATAATTATTTGATTTATTTTTTTGACAATCCATACAATTTCATTGTCATGAATATTTTATAACATTTGTTATAATTTACTAATTTATTATTTATACTATTATTATACAATTTATTCATACATTATATATTTTTTTACACTTAGTCTATATAAATTATTTGATACTAATAAGTGCAAAAATCTTATTTATCAAATAAAATATTTATTAATTTTTATTTAATGTAATATTATAGCTGATGACTATGAAAAATAAAATAAAAAATTTTTCATTAAATTGTTATATTAATATTTAATATTTAAATAGTATCTGATTCAATAAATTCAATATTTAATAATTAATTAATGATACTAAACATATATATATATATAATTTAAGCATATTTTATAATAACATTTATTAATTTATATTTTCTACATAATATATATATAAAGTTTTTTTTTATAAATAGAGTAAACTATAATAAATACAATTAATTAAAACAAACAATACATTATTTTTTTTACACTTTGTGTAATGTAATGCCATATAACAAATAAAAACTTTCAATATTAAATATTATAAATAAATAAATCTTATTTCAAATAACAAGAAAATAAATTATTATTATTATTTTCTATGAAATGTATTAAAGGTTAACAAATAAACAAACAAACAGACAAAAAAAGATTTCAATTCAATTTTCAGATTAATATTTAATTTAAATTAAACTATTTTTTGTTGTTGGTTATTTGTTTCAATCTATATATAAATAATAATATTTTCAATATACTATATATATAGTTTGTAATTTAGTATTTATAGTGTAAATAAAATATATTATTTATAACAACAACAAAAATCAATGAAATAGATTTATAATTTAATTAATTTTTTAACATTTTATAATCTATGTTCTAATAATAATAATATAATATATTATTTTAAATACTGTATATATATAAATTTAATTTAATCGTTAAAACCAATTGAATAGTAATTTTTAAAAAATAATAATTATTATTTATATTCATAAAATTGCTAAATAATAAAATCCCAAAAATTTATAATTTATAATACTGTAGTTATAATACCCTCTTTTATATTAAAATAAATAATAATTTCAATATACTGTAAATATTATTTGTTATTTAGTATTTATATTGTAAGTAAAATATTTTATTTATAATTAAAAAAATCAATGAATTAGATTTATAATTTAATTAATTTTTTTAAACATTTATTTTTATAATCCATGTTCTAATAATAATATAATATATTATTTTAAATGTATATAAAAATTTAATTAATTGTTAAAACCAATTGAATATTAATTAAAAAAAATAATTATAATTATTTATATTCATAAAAATTGCTAAATAATAAAATCCCAAAATTTATAATTTATAATACAGTAGTTATAATACTGTTTTATGTTAAAAATATATTTAATACTTTTATATAATACACTGTAATGTATAGAAAAATTTTATAATAAATTATTAAAATCTGATTTTGATGTGTGTTTTTTTTTGAAATATATTTTAATTAAAAAAAAGATTTTCGTTTTATGTTTTAAAAACAGTATTAATGTATTAACAAAATAGTAAATACATGTCTTTTAAATAGTAAATCAAAAAACTTTTGGTAAAGCCTCGAGACTTAAGCGATTGTTTTGATTTAATTAAACATTTAATACATACAGAAAATCATGAATTTAAAAAAAAAATTATATAAAAATCTTTATAAAAATAAATATATTAATAGTTAAACCTAACCTAACCTATACTAACCAAACTAATGTAATATAAAATAAATTATATATATATTTAAATTTAATTAAGTATATATATATTTAAATTTAATTAATTATATATAATTAATAATATTATTTATAGATTTTTAAACAATTAAAAAAATATCAAATAAGCATATATTAAATATATATAGAAATTTATATAATACTAAATTTTTATATTCAACTTATTATATTCAACTATAAATATATTACTAATGTTAAAATTGATGATAAATTGAAAAAAAATTAAATTTTAGATTTAGAATAGCTTATCAATTTTAGTATCAGTTTTATTAATAATAATAAAATTATTATTATTATTTCGGTTTCGGTTTTAGCCTAGAGTTTTCAACCCTATCATCTATACTGTATAATAATGTGCAATCAGTGTGTGTGTATGTACTGTATGTGCTGTGTATTGAATACTATTGATCATCAACTCTATACTCAACTAAATTTGCAGTATAATAATAATAATGTTAGGTTTAGGTGTTACAAAAAAAAAATATTCCCTATGTTCCCAAAATGCACCAAAATAAAAATTCCTAAAAAAATCCTATTACCTAGTGCTACCATCTATTTTTAATAAATTTTTTTAAAAACTAACAACACATTTAATTATAAAAAAATTTTCAACAAAAAATTGAAATATTATTAGTTAAAAAATTGTATTTTTTTTAAAAAAAAATATATATATTTTTGTGAGTCTCACTAAACATTTATTGAATAGAAATTTATTTTTCTATAAAATATTTCAATAAGTTTTTTTTGGAGGTATTATTTATTGTAATAATATAATTATATATATATTATAACAATATTAATTAATTAGTTAGATTAATTAATTAAAAATATTAATTAGTAATTTAGTTTATTTGAGCATGATAAATTTTTTTCAATAACAAATAATAAGCTACGTAAGTTATTTTTTTTTAAATAAAGTTTTTAAGCTCACTAATATTTTTTTATTAATTAATATATTAATATATATTCCGGGAATTTTTATTTTCTAGGGAACTTCCCATCACTACTATTTAGTAGATCGCAAACTCCTAAACATTTTTGTTTTGATGTGTTTTAGTGAGAGTGTCTGTACAGTAGTACTGTATGTACGGTATGTATGGTATGTGTTATGTAGTGTATGTGTCAGTCAATGCTAAACCTATTGAATTGAATGTATGTAAACCATTAGATTACTACACATACAAAACATATATACAAATATCATATAATATGTGTTTTGTTTATATCATATACAGTACAGTACAGTACTGTTTGATATAATGTATTGAAACGAAAAATTATTTTCTAATTTTATTTTATATCATATTATTTGTGTTTTCAATGTATTGATTGCAATAGCATTGCAATACATATATACAGTGTATTAGACATAAACAACATGTGATCCCAAATATAAAACAATTGACAGTTAAATGTATGCAATAATTATGATATGATTTATTTGTTGAGATAATTGTCGGTCCAGTATATGTGTGGATCAGATGCAGTGATGATGAATGACCACAATAACAGTCAAATCAATCAATCAATTGAAGTGATTTGCATTTGATGTCCATATGTTTGCCTCATTGCCGCCGTCGACGACAACGACAACTATCACTACCACTACTACAAGACATGTCAACATCGGATTGCCGTAAATGTCGGACCACTCGGAAGTCGAGGACAAGTAGTTGTTCATCGACACCGACAACATCAACATCACTGCCGCCGCCGCCGTTAATATGGCTATTATTAGTGACACTAGTATTATGGCCGTCGTTGTTGACCACTAAATCGATGGCCGATATAGTGGTCCAACAATCGGATACAGTAGCAGACGATGAAGAGTCCATCAATAGACTGGTAATTAACGTACAAAACGATGGCCAAGAAGTCTATCAGGAAGTGATTACTTCAAACATTAGCGACGATTTGATTATACTGGACATGGATGACACCGACGGCTCATATATTACACAATTTATTGACTTTAAATCGGTATTTAGTTTTGTTTTTTTGGGATCAATTGAATTATAATGTGTATGTCTTAAGGCATTTAATCGCTAAGAGGTTTATTGTGTTGGGGGCGGGGGAGGGGTGACCATCAAAGTCACTATATGTGTGTCCCAATTGATCCCAGTCTTTATTATTAGGACTGACCATCAAAGTCACTATATGTGTGTCCCAATTGATCCCAGTCTTTATTATTAGGACTGACCATCAAAGTCACTATATGTGTGTCCCAATTGATCCTAGTCTTTATTATTAGGACTAACCATCAAAATCACTATATATGTGTCCCAATTGATCCCAGTCTTTATTATTAGGACTGACCATCAAAATCAATGGTCACTATATATGTGTCCCCCAATTGATCCCAGTCTTTAGGACTATTAGGACTGTATTTGATACCCAATAGGAGACAACTATCACATTATTATTAGTGGATATAATAAACCTCTTAAAGACATTGCAAACTACAGTATATGTATTGTGTGTTTAATATAATGATTAAAAATATAGTATTGTTTTAAGTTAATAATAATTTACTTAAAATTTTTTGTTTGTTTGTTTATCACCGCCTAATAGGAAGTACAGATCTTCCGGATCTATCGTTTGGGTGAACAGGACTTAAACGAAAGTGTTTACAAAGTCTACTGTTTTGTAACACATTTACCTAAAAATGAGTTCATCTCCACTGATGCCATGTCTAAGCTCAGACAGGTTTGTAAATAATAATAATAATTATTATTATTTTTGATTTTTAATTATCACACCAATTGATCCCATTATTTTAAGCCTAAAATCATATTAACGGTAATATTATAGCAATAACTTTACCGGTAATTAGTATTTAATTTAAAAAAACAAAATCAATTTGTTATAATATGATTGCATGTAATTGTTTGGCATTAATTTTATATAACATTTTTTTTGTTGGTATCTCTCAATTGAAACCAATAACCAACAAAAATACACTTTAAAAAAATAAATGTTATGTTAATATTATTACTGTATTATTGATATATCATTTAGTCCTTTAATTTTATTAATATATAATATTATTTGAATTACCAATTTTGTTATATATTTTGACTGTTTATATATAAATTACAAGTAATAAAATAACTATTTATATATATATATATATTTTTTTATATACATCCCTGTCCTTTAACTTAAATACTATATTAACTGTATAACTATAAATAGTATAACACAAGTTTTATATATACGTTATATACAGTACCGGTAATTGACATTTAATTTATTGCTAAATATTTTTTTTTTTGGTGACCAATCATTGAATTAAATAAATGTCTTCATAGACACAACCCATTGACTGCTTTTTAATTTATTTTTTATATGTTTTCACTTTAGTTTAGTTTAGGTTTTTTTTAGTTTGTTTTATTTGTTATATGTCTTTCATCGCTAACTTTTATTTTTTGTTGTCTTTATATATATATATAATATTATATATCTATATATATATTCTCTCATAAATATGATGTTTGATTGCAATAGTATTTCTTATAATATGTGCTGTCATTAAGGTTTGTGTCGCACAAATGTCTCTCTCTCTCTCTCTCTCTCTCTCTCTTTCTCTTTCATTGATATATTATATATTTTTATTGATACCAATTGTGTATCAAATGAAGCGATTGATTAGAAATTGAGTTTCCAGTTAACCAGAAAAAAGTCATATAACTTATATATATATCTATATATATATAATACTACTAATAATAATAATAATAATAAAGTAGTTATTGTTGAATGAAAATATCGATAATAAAAAAACAGTTATTCATATATAAGTTAGTAGTAGTAGTAGTAGTAATGATCTCTTTTTATTAACTCATTTCATTGTGTTTTTTATATATATTTATGATTATTATTATAATATGATAGTAATGTTTGGTTTTTTTTCACTCTCGGATTTGATGACACAACTATATTATGATATGATATTTAATATTTAACTATATATTACTGATACATATATTTTATTTATTTTCCTATTGAAATAGAGAAATCCCGGAGCCATACGTCAGGCTGAAGATGATAAGGGAAAAGAGTTATACGAAATGGATCTCCAAATTGTTGTGAATAAGTCTTCCATAATATCAAAACATTTGCCAAAAGTGTGTTCAGAGGCGACAAACTCGACGTTTACCCGTGAAATTGATTTGCGATTTTGGGCCAACACTGAAGGTATAGATAGTTAGATATAGATATATATAAATAAATGTTTGCTTTTTTTCTTTGTCTGTTTGTTTGTGTGTTGGATCTGATATCATATGACATTCACATCAAACACTTTCACTCAATTTTTTTCGCCTTCAATCTATACCATACCATACCATACATCCATTTAAAACACATACACACATACATAACACAACTGAGCTGATGATGATAAGCAGTTACCAGAGAGAGAGAGAGAGAGAGAGAGAGAGAGAGAGAGAGAGTACTCCTAATGTCTATAATGTATTGCCATTGATCTGTAAAGAGAATAAAAATATAAGTTATATATATTTTCCATTGATATATATATATACAGCAAAAATGATAAACTACTTGTGCTTTACTATACACACACACACACACACACCACTGTATAATCATATTATTATTATAAATATTATTTTTAGTCTCCAAACCCCCAATAGCTAAAATGTATATAACATATTGTTTTTTTCAAAGCCTGTCATTTACACACACACTCACTCACTCACTCATTCACTTAGTTTAGTCTTTAAGCCCTATTTTTCCCTTATTTTTATTGTTACTTTAACTCTACTATTTTTTTCTGGCAAAAATATCATCTAATTTTATATTGTGTATTAGTAGTAGTAGTTTTTTTTCGGTGACATTATTAATAATAAGTTTATCAAAATAGCTATTATTGTATTATAAAGTGTTTTCTAGTTAGATATATATTAATATATTTTTCCCATTTATATACTACGCTAATATATATATTGATATAACAGTTAGATATAATTTATATACAATTATATGAGGAAATATATTACACACACACACACACACACTCTAACACACAATACTGTACTATATTTTGTCAAAAACATTAATAAAATGTTTTATGGTTTATATATAACTCTAGATAAATCTATAGTTAGATTAATGATATATTTATTTAACAAATAATTTTTAGGGTAAATAATATTTAGTTTTCTATCTATAATATAATATATATTTATCTCAAAAAAAACAGTGTTAAATCGCGACATCATATCGTTGACCTCATCGGTACACAAAACTATGACCTCCTCCTCCTCCTCAGCCACCACTACAACCACCAAACGACTACACGATGCCGTCCAGAGCTGTATCATTCATAGCAGCAGTGTTGGTGATGGTGGTAATGGTTCAGACAATACACAAATATTTCGGGGACAGCCATGTCTATGTCGGCTACAGATCTGTGTAATGTGGTATCCCTGTGCACTCAAGTACTGTAAAAACAAAGATAACAACAATAATAATAATAATAAAATCCAGACCTATCGGTGCGGTATTAAAACGTGTCGAAAGTGCCGAGACTTTCAATTTTTAACACATTTAAGGCAAGACTGTATGTGGGATTAAAATCTATATATACTTTACTTATATATATATAGTATATAACATTTATATAGATATATATAGTTTTATTGATTTTTGTTTTGTTTTGTGTTTTTTTTGGTTAGAAATATATATATATGAAAAAATGCAAACTATTCAGCGATAAATTTCATTTTTTTTTGTTTATGAAATTTATGCTATGTTTTAGTATTTAGAATAATATAGGATTTTTAAAAAAAAAATTTATGAAAATTATTTTTTATGATTTTTTATGTTGGTTTGTTTAATGACTTGTCATTATAAGAAATTTGGTGCTTTTTATATAGATATTAAATGCAATTATATATACTGTATATATATTTACCAGTAATTCAAAAGTTTAAATGAAAATTTAAATTTTTTTAATTAATATATAATATAAATCAAAGTAATTGCCCAAAAGAAAATTAAAACCTATATTATATTTTTTCAACAAAAATAAAAATAAATAAAAATCATAATTATCTATAATAATGTATAGGGAAATTCCTAATTAAAATATTAATTAAAATTTTATGCCAATTATAATTTATTTATTTTTTAAAAATGCAATTATTTTTTGACAGTTTATTGAGTGACATATATATATATATATATACAGTATATATATATATATAAAACAAAATTATAACATCAAAATTGTTAGCCTATATAAGTTATATGCAGAATTTAATTAATAATTTATTTTTTGTTAAAAAAATCAAATATAAGCTAATAATATAAAATATAATATATATATATATTATATATAGTTCTTAATATGACAAGTCTTTATATTAATTTTCAATTTATTATTTAATTAAAATTATTAATATATTATTATTTAACTAACAAAAAAAATTGATTGAGATTTTGGGAACCAAATGTGTTGTGAGAAAAAGTAAAACTAGATATTGATTTTTTTTCCTATTAAAACATTGAAAAATTGAAAGTATTACCCAATATATATATATATATATATATATATATATATAAATTATATATATATATCTTATATTTGTCATATATATAATTATATATATATACATATAATATAATTATATATATATACTGTAATATAATGTTTTATTTCATAAAATACAACATAAAGTGATGCCAATTAGATAATTAAATATATATATAGTATATAAAAATTATAACAGACAATAAACATGATTTTTATTTATATAAAATTATATATTATTATTATTATATAAGATATTAATTTTACTAAAAAAATAATTAATTAATTACAGTGCACTTGATGTTCATATAAAATATATTTAATATAAAAATTTTTATTAATATATATATATATATAACCAGTTCTTCCAAACAAAAAAAAACATTAATTCAATATTTGCCAACAATTTTTTACAATTGAAATATAGAAACATAACATTTATGACAAAAAAATATATATATATATATACACAAAAAAAATAAATTCAAATATTATATTTGATTTATACTGTATTTTATTTTACATGTTATACAGTATTTGCATAAATATAAGTTCAGTCATGTATTTATTTGTGAAACAATTATGTAAAGTATAAATTTATATATAATATAATAATAGAAATTTTGTAAATATTTTAACGTTTAACTTATTATTATTATTATTATTAGTTGTAAATGAAAATACTTGATGTGTATGTAATAATTATTATCATTATTACATAAATTGCATGTTTTATATATACATCTATAGACATAAAACTCTCTCTCTCTCTCTCTCTCTCTCTCTCTCTCTCTCTGAAAATGTTTTGTGTGTTTTTTTTAAATGTAATATTATTATTATTATCCGCTTTTTTTCTTATACATTGTATATCATATGTTAAAAACATTTTTTTTAACATTAGTAATGTTTAAATTAGTTTTGCGTTATTCCCATTGCTTTTAATTGACTTTTTTTAATGATTATTATTATAATTTCATGAAATGTTTTTTTTGTGTGTTATACACTATAAATGTCTACTACAGTACAACAAATAATAAAAAAGTAAAATGATATATATTTTTTAATTTCAGTATATATTTCTAGTACTGTACAGTATATATACATTATAATATGCATATTATATATACACACATATTTGATATACAGAATAAATAAAATAAAATAATTTAAATGACCATACATTACATTAAAAATAGTATTATATTATTATATTATAGATGAGATTAATATATATATATTATACATAAATAGTACAACAGTTTCATTAAGTTATTTTTTTTTTGATTTTTTTTGTTAGTTATATTATTCTAATGTATAGTAAATTCACCAAAAAAAAGTTATTATCATTTTGAATATATTTATTTATACAGTATATATATACTGTAGTTTTGTATCAATATTTCTATTATATGCACTTCAAAGCAACCAACAACAAAAAAATCCAATGAGTCTAACATTAAAATCATTTATATTTCTGTTATTGTAATTACTTTATATATATATTATAGTATAGAATATATTCATTAAATTGATTTTATTTTTTTTTAACTATACAGTAGTTATTTAAATATATATAATAGAAAAATTCATTTATTTATCATATATATATATGATTTGCAGATATATTATTAAAAATATTATTATTATTATATATCTGCAAAACATATGATAAATAAATGAATTTTTCGCTATTTTATATACCAAAAAATAATACCTAATATTAATAATAATAATAATAATAATAACTCAGTTTATACTGTATATTAAATTAGCATAAAATTTTTAAATCTAAAACCATAAATATTATTGTATTATATATACTGTATAGTACTGTATATTATATTTTTATGAATAATATATGCATTAAAATCATTAGCAATTTTAGTTCATTTATTTTTATTTGTTAAAATCATTTTATATTAAAATAGATTATTCTGTATATAATTTATATATATATATAATATTATATATAATATATATAAATATTGTATTCAACACACAAAATATATATATATATTTATCATAATTTTAATTATGTTCTATATATATATATAAATTATTTTTTTTTTATAAAAATAAATTTATCATATTAAATTAAATTATTTATTTTGAAAAAAATAAATTTATTTAGTCATTAATTTAAAAAATATTTTGATTAAATTTTTCACAAAATAAAATTTTTTAATATATATGTATGTGTGAAAGTGTTATAATAAAAATTAAATCAATCTTTTTAGTTAAACATTAAATTATTAAATTAAAATAAAAATGTAATTTATTTTATTTTTTAAATGATCTAATAATATATATATGTATTAATTATTTCTACTAAAAGCCTAAATATTTTTTTTGTTAAACAAATTTATTTTATAACGTTTCTATTATAACAGTTAAAACACACAACAACAACATAAATAAAATATTGGTTAAAAAAAATATTTTCAATAAAAAAATAAATAAAAATAAAAACTAATCAAAATATAAGAAACATTTTGTTATATAAAAAAATATTATATAAATTATATTATCAATATATCACACATTTTTATATTATGAGAGTTGAATTTTAAAATACAGAATATATTTATTTTTTGGTTTATAATATAAAAAAAAACTTATGTATTCTCTCTCTCTCTCTCTCTCTCTCTCTCTCTCTCTATTCCATCCCTTTTCCTGACATACAATTGATATGAACTATAATATTATATAAAACATTAGTCTCGCAGTGGGAATCGCACACAACATTTGCTATTATATATTATATAACATTTATATTTTCACTTTCATTTCATTTTTATTTTTGCTATTTTTTATATATATATTATTTTATTACAAGTACTCTCTCTCTCTCTCTCTCTCTCTCTCTCTCTCTCTTTCTTTCTTACTTTCTTAAATATAAATTATATATACAGTATATAAAGTATATATATATTATGAAAAAAAATAATATCTAAAAGAAAAATATGTTTCATTTTTTGACTTATGGCTGACATAAGAAAAACAATAATATATATGCGATTTGGAGACACACTTTAATATTTGAAGCAAATCTCGATTTATTTTATTATTATTTTATATTTTTTTATAGATATATATATATATATATATACAGGGTGGTTTTTCCCTTAGTCCTTTTAAAAACATATCAATAACTTTAAAACTACTAAATATATTTTATTCAAATAAAAATTAATATAAAATTGAGTAAATGGAGCTTTTAAATTTTAATGAATTAAATTTTCAAAATGGCCGCCACTAATTGCAATTAAATGACGAATTCGGCCTTCAAAATTAGCAGCAACTCTTTGAAGCATATCCATTGGAATCGCCCTTTTTTCGCGTTCAATGTTTTGTTTAAGTTGATCAATGGTTTCTGGTTGAGAAACATAAACCCTATCTTTCAAATATCCCAAAAAAAAGTAATCACAAGGGTTGAGATCAGGTGAATATGATGACCAATCAATGCCGCCTCCTGTTTTTTTGGCGCATCAAATCTAATGATATGCTCTCCAAAACATTCTTTAAGAGTATTGAACACATCCTGTGTTCTGTGCTGTCTTGCTCCGTCAAGTTAAAACCAATGATTGTTTGCCAAACGTTTTCTTGGTATAGTAGCGCTGAACGTTTCAGTGATTTGTGTCTTGTAAACTTCTAATGTTACACTTTGAGTTAGAAATATTGACGCAATAACTTCTTCGTCTTTGATAGCACACCAAACACTGACTCTTTTTGGATCAAGTTGCCGAGCAATCGTCAAAAATGGTTTTTTTGTGCCAAAATGTTGCATATTTTGTAATGCGTGCCGACGCCATTTTTAAACTGTTTTGATTTTCAAAACAACAATAACTAAAACTCCAACTACCCCTAACCCCATCTATGTAAAAATAAATTTACAAATATTTATAGTTTTTAATTTAGCAGGGTAATTTCAAAAGGACTAAGGGAAAAACCGCCCTGTATATATATTCCTTATTTTTATATATATTTCTCTCTCTCTCTCTTTCAAAACACATATACCGTACTTTGCTATCAATTCAAGCAT